CCTCGCAGTAGATAGCGCTATTTAAGCAATAGCGAAAATCAGACCTGAAAAAAATCAGGCCTGTACGGGATTCGAACCACTGACCTCTGCGATACTAGTGCAGCGCTCTACCAATTGAGCTAACAAGCTTTCTACCAATTTGCTTAAGTCGCCTTAAATCGCCCAAAGTCGCTCAAAGCTACGGCGACTGATGGCCCCAGAGTAGGCCTTTAAAACAAATCTCTGACATCTGAGTGACTTAAAGATACGGTACGATCGTATACGAGGTTGCATATCGGAAGTCGAGAGTAAAGTGTTTTAAAATTTTCTGGCCGTAAAAAGGTTCGTGATTGCTTTAGAGTCTTAGTGTGGTAGCTCAATACAAAATCTTTGATACAGAATTTGATCTAAGAACAGAGAGGTTGTTTACACTCAAGTTGGTTGTTCGAAGAAAGCTGTTATTTCGTTTTTGTTGCAGGTGCCCATTTTATCCATTTTTTTTTTAACTTAGAACTAGAAAAAACCCACCTTTTAGCTACATTCATCACTTCTAAAAACAATTGAATCAATTTTGAAAGGTATCAGGACGAGAACACACAAGCCTTCATTATGGTGGTATCATTGTACCCGCTGGTTGAGTATTCTCTTGGATCTGATATTCAGTGTGTTTATTTTGATCGTCGCAATAACTGCCATTTTCATATGGTGCACGATCCTCGCAGTAGATAGCGCTATTTAAGCAATAGCGAAAATCAGACCTGAAAAAAATAAGGCCTATACGGGATTAGAACCACTGACCTCTGCGATACTAGTGCAACGCTCTACCAATTGAGCTAACAAGCCACCTGGGAGCAGGCCGTTAAGTTGATTCGTAATAAACCCGTGAAAGTGATAATTGAGATACAATGAAATATATGAAGTTCATATATTTCATTATAATGGGGGCCATACTGGCCATACTTAAATACTGGTCATCATAATGACCAGTATTTAATAGCGTTTAATTCTTTTTCAAGCCAATGAGGTTTTTGTTTTTTATCTCAATACTGTCTTGAGGAAAAGCAAAATGTTTCAATTGCGTGACAATTGTCACGTTGGATCAAAGGTGAAATTGCCGGGTAAAGCGGACATGATCCTTTATTTCGTCAAAACTCCACTCTAAAGCATCCAGTCCTATATATCTCGTTTTAAATTATTTGTATAAACTCTTTAATGAGTCTCTATCGATCAACATCTCGCCGGCCTGATCCTGTTTGACTTCAGGCTGACTGCCAAGTGCGGTTCGAAGGGGACTTTTTCATTTCCGGTTTGCGCCTTTAATACGGGGACCGCGGAGCTATGGGGTTGAGTGGGCTGTAGCCCCACCAAGAACAATTTATTATTATCATTATTATTTATTTTAATCTTTGTAATTAAAAAAAAAGTTGGGCTGTTATCTTAGGTGAAAAACTACACAGCAGAAGCTTGCGGTGTTGCGTGACTTTGTTTACTCCCACAACATTTTTCAAGATATGCAAGATATTTCAAAAGAAATATCATCGCAGTTGCAGAAAACGTAGCTATTTAACTAAGAATAATGTCGATAATAAAAACCTAGTCAACAAAAATGGTGAAATATACACCGGCCCTTATCTATAGTTAGGTGTAGGTAGTGCTGTTGAAATAGCGAGTCAACAATAACAAAGTCTTCTGCAATTCAAATTAACAGAAAATTTCGTATCTACACATCAATTTACAACCCTCTTCAGGAATGTCTATGGATTTTTTATCGGATAATTTCATATTATTTCCATATCAAATAATTGTTTTAACCATCTTTGACTATCTTGTTTACTTCGTAGCTCTCAAGTACGATTTCTAGAACTGATTTGTATCATGCAAATTCATGACCTTGGCCACATTGTGTCGTAAACTCTTGTATTTTGCTGGCACTTTTCTATATTACCCAAATCTTTTATTTCATATTATTTTAGTATAAGGACCAAACTTTGTTCCAGCATGCATTTTGACATGAATTCTCACATACCAAGAAGCGTTTTGAAGGCTTGAAGTTGCTCGAATTTTCGCTTTTTGCAACAAGCGTTTGAGAGTACTTTGCTAAAAAAAATCTTGTAATTTTTAAAATTAAACCAAAGCTCCTAAAAGTGCCATAAATAAAAATCAAATGAATTATATTTTCAAGTAGAAACATCCACGATTTCTTTCGAAACATACTCCTTCAGTACTAGCACACTAAAGTTGCTCAATTTTACTGTATTTTTTGCATAATTAATTAGGTAAAAACCCGAATATTCGTTTTTCCCCATTTTCTCGGAAACATTTGATTTTTCAGACTTTGAAATATTTTTTTTCTAAGATATCTCCCTAAAAGGGTTTTCAAGGAAAATTATCAGAATTTTCGATTTCTCAGCTTGGCCAGCGATTCTCGATATTTACAGTCATAGGCTTTTAAGACCCTAAGTGTTGGTCCGGTCTGGGGCTTGAACCCTCGACCTCCAGCCAGTCCGGCGCTCTACAACACGAGCAACCAGGCGGCCGTCTCAGGTAACCATACAGAACTGTTCATTTATTTACTATGATGCTTATTGTATAATTCATTTGTACAGGTCATTATCGATGGCAGTGACCTTGCATCCATCAATCTCCAAGATGCTCGCCGGTCCATGGCTGTTATTACACAAGCTCCGGTGGTTTTTGCTGGAACATTAAGAAGGAATTTGGATCCATTTAAAGAGCACACAGACGCAGTTCGCTGGAAAGAAATGGAAAATGTGCAGTGGAAGACTCTTGTGGAAGACCTTTCAGGTCAGCTCGAGTTCAAACTAAAAGAGTCCGGTGCAAACTTCAGCATTGGTGGGAGACAGCTGATCTCTTTGGCTCTTGCATTAGTTCAGAAGAGCAAGATCATCATCATGGATGAAGCCACTGTTAATGTGGATTTCAGGACTGACCGTCTGATCTAACAAGTTATTCGTAACAAGTTCAAAGAATCCACAGTACTAACTATTACTCATCGACTGAATACCATCCTGGATTGTGACAAGGTGCTGGTTCTTGATGGCGGACGAGTGGTAGAGTTTTAAAACGTGAATTGTTGATTAGAAATGGAGGAATATTGGCTGAGATGGAAAAAAACAGGGTCAGAGTAAGTAAACTTTTAACTGACTCCTGCTATCTAGTTTCCAGCAGAGATGTTCTGATGAAAAATCTTCACTTCATTTTCTTCATCCAGTTGAGCAATTTAAAAATTTCATCTTTGCTATGTCCTAGAGGCCTACACGGCATAATTTAACTCTTTCACACGGAACTTTTTCACATTTTACCCGAGTGCATTAACCGGGCTTTATCTAATCATTTCTTTCACTCAATATCACGAGGATATCGAAACGCTGTGCGCGTTCAGTATATTTCTTTATTACATTTGTTACTGACTGTACAATGATAAGATTACAAATTGTTTACGAGAGACAAGTGTTAATCAAGCTGGCTTTGGCTTCGATTACCATGAGGATTTGTGAGAGACGTTTTTTCGTGTAATTGTCGATCTATGTAGACCTGAATGAGATCAAAATGGTAGCTGGCCTATTGCCTTTGACTCACTTCATAAAACTGTGTATGCTCATGAAGAATCCTCTGTTTTTTGAAAGACTTTACGTCAAAACTCATCGCAATACGATTCAAAGTATAGTGCTGAGCATTTGGCAAAGAAAGATCATCATAGTTAGGAATTATGATTAGAGTAGTTGAGACAATAAAACCTACAATTAACCCAGACTTCGGGTCCATGACTGTCCTTTAAAACTGTTAAGGCGCTGTAGCCAACTGAGTCATCAAGACGGCTGAGAAATGGTTGTTGTGTGACCTGGTTAATTATAAATTACCCGGGAAAGATAATTTCATTAAAGGGAGTTTGTACAAGAGGATGATTTTTTTAAAATGGGAATAAAGATACCAATCAAAGAGAAATTGTAGTTCGACACACAACCAAAGTTGTGGTGAGTTTAGTGTTTAAGCGACCTCTGAACAAGGTAAGAAAGGAATCTGCTATCGTTTAATATCTTTCGCAACAACTTCATGTGTTAAAAGACGGTCAAGTCCTCCATTGTATGTGCTAGAGCGGATGAATTATCTTGTAGAGGTGTGGTGTAAAGAGATGCGCTTTACGTTCATAGATGCTCGAACCCGATGTTTGAATATTAATTGCATGCACCATTCGTTGCAAATGCAAACCTTAAACTATCAAAAAATTTTCCTCGGAAACTATTTTTTGTTAAAGAAACAGAACACAGTCAAGCCTGTATTTTAAAAGTAGTCAACCACGGGGAATGTTTGAGCCTGAAGTTTGAAGATTCATTTAATGCTTACCAAACAATTTCATTCTTAGATGAGAGAGAGAGAGAGAAATGTTTTAACTTTAATATGCAGAACGTGGCGGGTCACGAATGGTACGATAAAAGTAAACGAAGGCGTTCAAATCTATTAAATAAAGTCCATTCTGGGTGAAAAAGAAACGGCTTTCCGGGGACTGTGTGAGAGTGGTTAACTTGTTTATACAAGTACATAACGAGTTCCATGAATGTCTCTCTCAGAAGTCACCATAGATATGAGTGCCTTGTGCGTGACCCAGTTTTCTGTTGGTAACAGGTAAAGCATCAGAACACAAGATCGTCGTTTACAGGCTTTAGGTGATATCTTTTGCTTTTTTGGCCAAAGATTCTTAAAGAAAACTTTTTATAGACTTTATAGGAGCGGAAACAGGAGGCATCACCCAGGATGTACCGGAAAGGAGATAGAGATGGATCAGCCTCCTGCTTCACATGCCACCAATAGTCCTGCAAGAGTCGTTCCAAAAACGAACGGACTAAGAAAAAACACGAGGAAGGAGCGGGGAGAAGTAGATAAATGATAAAATCTTTCCAAATCTACAAAAAGTAACCCATTAAACTTGAGCTTTTCGTTCGAAAAAGACACGATCTCCGTGTGATATTACAGCAAACAGTCGAACAAACCATCGCAGCTTTAAACCAGTCAGTTTTATTTACATACAGTGCCTTTCCTTGCCTTTCGAAAGTGGACGGAAGTAAACCCACGTAGATTAATCGTCGGTTGTTCGAGGGGCGGCGCTATCCAGCGGATAAATTTTAACGATACGTACTGCACTATCCACCGGAGAGAGGACTACCCAGTGGATAGCGTTACCCACCCTTTGAGGGCTAGAACTATAGTCTATTCTAAAGTGTATATGTGCATTTTATCGTGAGGGGTTTTTAATAAACATGTGTTAGATAGTGTCAGATAATTGCAGAAAAATGTCTTATCAAAATGCCTCTTTCTTCCTGTTAAGAATTACCTTTCCTTTCTATTCTATCTACTCACTCGACGATTGTTCAGTTCATGAGAAATCCTGCCACAATTAAATCCCAAAGTTGTTCGGGTTCATTTTGCACATTTTTTACTAGGTTTAAGAAGACAAGGACACTTTCATTTACCAGCCGAGTTCAGTCTGTATTTCGAAAGACGGTGCCCTTTATATCCTGAGTTGCGGGAACAATTTTTCGTAATACGGAACACTCGGCTGGTGAAAACCACATTGGGAAACCTGAGCATGGCTTACACAGTTCATAACCAGAATTGCTCATAGCAAAGATGAAACACCTGTGCCTACACAACAAAATTCCTCGGCCAAATCCCTGCGATTAACCCTACATAGGGCAGTGTGTAGAGTTCTATAAGTTGCGTCTGTATGGTTTGTCTGTTTCCAAACCCGCAAAGTTTGGTAGGCACATTCCTCCAGTACTTTATGCCGATTTTCGATTTGTTCAATCCTAGACTCATCCATGTCAAGCAAATGACGCCCAAGAGGCTTCCACTTGTCAAGCTTCTGTGCCAAGTCTTGCAGCTCCTCCAAAGTGGGACAGCCTTCTTTAACTGTATCTGCTAAGATGATGTCCAAAAGGAAATTAATACTTTGGATTTTACACTTTGGGCTTTTAACCACACTGGAATACGTTTTAGCAAGTTATAAAACATGCAATTTTGTCTCTGGCTTTGAATTGACATTTTGAAACAGCGACAGTAACAAAAAATAGGTATGGAAAGGCATACATGTGTCTAGTGCTAGCTAGTTGTTTCTACGCATTTTGAAATGTTGCAGTTTCAGCAACGTTTTTTTTAGGACCACTGATGATATAGTGTATTGTTGCTAATTAAAAGCTTTGAGATGAACTGATTCACAATGTAGGGTCTGTAACATATTTACCCATTGCAATTGTAAAAAAAGTACATAAGCAATGAACATTGATAACAAACAAGGAGTGTAAAAGAAACACTTTCATCAACCAGAAACCGCTGATATTTTGAGGAAACATAAATAATTTGTAATTTATATTATATATACAAGGCTAAAAGATTAGGAAAAATTGTAAAAATGTTTAAACCAAACGTTTTCGGCTATTTGCCATCAACATCAACTCTGATGATGGCAAACAGCCGAAAACGTTTGATTTAAACATTTTTACATTTTCGGCTGTTTGCCATCATCATCAACTCTGACGATGGCAAACAGCCGAAAACGTTTGGTTTAAACATTTTTACAATTTTTTCCTAATCTTTTAGCCTTGTATATAATATATTTTATTAAGCGAACATTATGGACACAATTTGTAATTTAATTTACTACAAAGTACAGATAATGGTATGTCATGGGCTAAGTAATGGGCTTACTTGGAGAAATGGAAAACACTTGTTCCACCAAAACTTTGGTTCAGAGTGAGTTAAGCAATGAAACTGGAAGAACTCAATATTACGTAACTGGAACTAGTATGATCGCATTCAACACAAGCTTCTGATACAGATCTTTCAGTTAGCTCTGTTCCCATCAAAAAATACAAAATGATTGGTACAATATAGACAGTACTAGACATATTGCTATTCAAGAGAAAACAGGGAAAGTAATACAGTTCAAAGGTAACAATGATATTTCACTGTTATCATTATAAATAAATCAAATGCGAGTTTGGTCAACATTTTCAGAATAAATTGACGAAAAACAAGTCAACAGGAACAGTTCAAGACTGTGGACCTGGAAGTAACATGGGTACAGCCTTCCACTATTTAGCTGAAATTGAACACAATTTGTGAACATAGCTCATATATCCCTTAGAAAAGGATCGCAATTCCTTTTGACACCCACTTCATTGGCCTTAGATGTCTCCTTCCTACTTTCATTAGCCTTTCTCTTTTTCCTATATTCCCTTATGTACCTGTTGGCTTCCCTTTTTAAGCTGTTGTCACGTGATTCTTCAGAGACAACATTTTGTTCTATTTTGTTTAAATTATCAGTATGCTGACTTTCTTATGAACTAGTGCTACGCCTAAAAGGCAATGTTAACACATAATGCACTTTATTAACATGACTTAAATAAATTTTTATTTGAGGCTGTTGCAATAAATGAGCTCTTCAAAAATTTTCATGCGATTCTACTTTATGAATTTTAAAGTATTGTGTCTCAGCAACTGCTTAAACAATGAGTGCATCACACCATGAAACTTACAGTGACATATTAATAAATAGTCCTTCCATGAAATGTGGGTATTGCTTTCAATGAAATGTTCTGGTTTGTCCTGAGACAATTAATACCATTTTGTCTAATTTGCAAGTGGTGATGTGGATCGCCATGTAACTGATGAAAAACAGCTCCCAAGAAACATTCACCTGCACCACCCACACTAAGGGGTCTCAATCTCAGCTGACGAAATCGAATTTTAACAAGATGGTGATGCCTAATGATAAAGCAGTTTGACTGTTGACATCTTGAAGAGGACCTGGACTTAATTCAGTATCACCTGAAGTCAAAAGTCTCATTCTTGACACACAAAATCTTGTACTATGAGTACTTGAAGCTATTTTTTGTGGTTAACTGAAAAAGCATGAGTCACAAGTTCGCTTTTATTTACACTCATTTTGTTTAGTTTAACTAACTTAGTGAATAACCCCTATATAATGGTAACCGAACATCAAAGCGAAATTGGAATGCCAAGGAAAATCGCAAGCAGTGGGTGGTAACGTGTGAAAACATGGGGATACGTTACGGAGACGGCAAAGTAATTTAACCGCTGATCGTTATTAAATTTCTATATTGTCTCGTTGACTGAAATCGATAAATTAAGAGAACCTTGTGTAATATGTGGAGATTGACAAACAAAATACAATCAGAACCTAACCGACTCAATATAAACATGCGATTAAAAAATGAAATAGATATCTGGACCTAATGAGCTTGCCCCGCAATTCCATTACAATAGAAAGAACTCTTAAATTTCACAGAAACTTTCCACGCGACAACGAGGGCGCGACATCGCTAAATAATATTAACATGCACGAAATGTAAGTAAACAATGGCTAGAAAGATTTGAAGCAAGACGAAAATAGACACAGAATATCAAAAACTTACATATCGATCCTGCAACGCCAATAGCACGCACAGCTAAAAACTTGATCGACATTGACAAAGAAAACTACCACAACTAACGACGCAGAGAACACGAAAACTGAGAAAGCTAAGTGAAATTGAATCAAACAGCAAAATCGTAGCCCAGCTGTAATGTACAGGTACGCAATTACACTCTCACATCTGTTTAGATATCTTACATTGTACAACTTATGGTCGGCGGCAAAGGTATGCAACCAAGAAGATTTCGGAAAAGATTTCATTATAAAAAAACTTTAATTTGCATCTAGCTCTTCTTTTCTTCGTGGTCCTGAAACCTTGTTCATCAGTATTCTGGATGGCTCTCGGCCTCTATGTCGTTCTATTCTTTAAGCTGTTTTGAAACGCTTGTAATTATTACTCTTTCGTGAAGAGAGCAGGAAGCCCAAATCCTTACATTTTGCTAAATAAACGCTTGCATTTTCATGAGCACTACTACTTTTTAAATTATTTTGTCGATTAAAATACGCTACAACTTTCTCAGACGGTTCGTTACTCAGAGAAGTTATCAGCTCAACGACAGCAGATTTACTGGTTCGCGTGGGTTTGTCGAGGCACATTGTCAAAAACCACACGAATTCATCAATTCGTCGTTTACTCTTCATTTCTTAATTCAGTTGGTCTTGACTATTTCTCGCTTCGTTTTTTCTTGAACGGGATTCGTCGTAGCCTTTTCGTTCCCGACTCCTCTCGATTATAAATCGATTTGGCTACACATTTTTGGTTAACATTTTCCTTCTCATTCACATCCTTTATCACAAAATGTTTACTTAACCGTGGCCTTACCTGTATGACGTCATGGGTTGCGTTATATGAATTACTTTTCAAAAATTTTTGCGCTCTTCCATTGGTGTCTACGTGTTAAAGCAGTAGACAACAAAAAGACCACTGCCACAGGTATTGTTGGTTCGGTTATCATTCACTCTGTATGCCCGTGTAATATAAGTAACTTGAAATACAAAATTCACTTCGGAACCTATTCTTTAGAGAGGAAACAGAGTGCAGTCAAACCGCTCATTTCCTGAACTGCTTACGAGTTTTCACCGTGAGTGACCGCTTAACGGCAGGTTGGCCTCTTTAATGCAGGTTCCACAGGAAATAGTAACATAAAAAACGATAAAAACGCCATTTCATGCCTTCTATGACCGCTTGATGAACAAAAACTCGCTCAAAAATACTACTAACATTGATTTCGAGCGATAAATATGGATTAAATCTTACTTGAAGAATATTCTCAGTTTTATTTGAATGGTCCCGCATTAAGTGACTGTTAAATACAGGTAGAGGGTAATACACACAGGCTGTCGGGACTTACTCAAAGGTGACCGCGACTGCTCAATACAAGGTTACCGCTTAATACGGTGCCGCTTAATACAGATTCGACTGTATAGGACCTCATTTACAACATTCACTATACAACAGCGTTTTGTCAGAAAATACCTTTCATCGTTTTTGACCGTTTAGGAGTTGGACCACCATTAGAAGACGAAATCCTTATAATTTCTGGACTATCGCCTACCTCTGACATACCTGTAGACAAAAATAAAAGTACATGCTTATATATCTCTTTTCAAAAGAGAAAGAAACGTCGGCCTATTCAATTCTTACAGCATGCCTACAGATTCTTTGCCAAGCAAAATTGTAGAATTCCAGTCTGCACTGTGTATTCTCTTCGATCATAGATCTTAAATTTGCCTTTTACAAAATAGTGTCACTTTTTTAACTGTTAGCATAGTTAAAAAGAAAGTGTTCATGGTTTCGAGCTTTCCTTTAGATGTGCTGGAGTAAATAACCTGGATGAAAACACAAAAGGTAACTTGAGGGGGAAATTGGGCTAGACCCGTGTTTTAGGACCATAACTTGCACAGTTCGAGAAACGATGAAAACCGAATGGTCAAGTAATCCTTAGTTGGATATATCAACCAAGTTGAAATGGTAAATTGGCCACCGTAACGATTACAAAAGCTGATTACAAAAGCCCTTAATCCTTAGTTGACTTTTTAATCTACACTTGTGTAGACCGCCATTCTTCGCTATAGACATTCGAACTGGAAATCATATCTAGTAGAACTGAATTTCCAAAAAAGACTTACCACGTGTATCTTGTAAAACCTGAGGCCAAAGTAACAGAAGAAAGAGAAAAAATATGAAATTATTTCGTAATAACTTGAGAGGACCGGAAAAATTACCACTTTATGAAAGTGAATTTTTGTAAGTCTCACCATTCCAGGATTACATCCAGAGGCGAAAAGAGGAATTGACATAAGAAAACCTGTCTAAAAGGGTAGTTGGGGGCAGGAAATAGGGAAACAAGCAGAAAAAAATTTAAGGGTATGGAAGAAGCGAGGAAAGGAAAGGAATATGCTTCCAGCCATAAATAGGATTCTACTCAATTCATCAGTTCTCCATTTAAACTGATATTGTTCTTGATAGATTCAGCTCCTGCTCCTGTGTTTTTCCATTTGACAAATGGCTTTAGTTTAATGTTTATGTTATGTTGCAGATACATCTTACTTGAGGTTGAACGATTCTCATGGTCCGGAGACATTTCAAGCCATCCTTTTTAATGAACTTAATTTGGGGAATTCGTCCTGGCTTCCTTTGCACGATGGCTTCGCTTTCGTACTTCTCTGAACAATTAAACCTTGAATGCGACCAAATGTATTATTTGTTAAATAAAATCAACGTCATCCTTCGCAAATAGCGTTCACCGTAAAGATCTAACTTCTATCTCAAATTCAACTGGATCCAAAAAATCCGATATTTGCAAGTCACGTAAACGTTTTTACAAGTGCTTCAGCGGTGTAGATGACTCCAATTACCTTTCTTCTGTTAAAATTTTCCTCATTAAGTTCAAATTAGATTTGATTGGCATACATTTTAAAAATTCAAAGTTAATAGTCGAGAGATAAATCTAACTTAAACTTCTCAAGTTAGTAAACACTTATGTGGTAAGAGATACTTCTTACAATTTTACCTCAAAATAAAATCATCAGCTGATGCGTCATCACAAGTTTTGAGACCCTTATGAAGCGATGCAGTTATTTGGACATCTTCATAGAGATTCTCGTTAGAGCTTCCACATCCATAAAGGAAGACTGAGTATGTAGAAAACCATTCCTCTCTTACTCGTTTTTCCAAATGACTAGGATAACAGCAAAATCTCAATTGAGAATTTCTACCACCATACTCGTGGGCTTTGCACAAGCACGCAGCGAATCCGGCCGCTCTTGGCTTCATATCAGCAAGATGATATAGAAGAGATTGCCCACTTAACCTTCTTCTCCTCTTGTCTCTTAAAAGTTTTCTCTTCTTTTGCGATACACAAAACCTGTAAAGAAATGATTCGTCATGTCAGCGTTGATTCTTTGTTCTTCAAGTTTGGTAAAAATATTTACCCTTAAAAGTGTAAGAAACACATAACCAACTATTGGATTATTTCGTACCGTTTGACGCAGTAAGAAATTTTTCTGAAGAACGCACGCACCAGTTAGTAAAAAGAGTACATATATTTTGGGATGGACCTTCTACAAGGTACAAGGTATGGTAAGGGTATATCAATATGACTCAGAAGTGCTTTCTCACTTTTCAAACACACAAAAGTCCCCAGATTATACTATCATTTTAAAAAAGGCAAGACCCTCGTTCTGTTTTTATAAGTAATGATCATTTGAGAGAGTGAATTGAAACCTTTTAACACACCGTGTAAAATGTGTGACTTGAAATGTCACCACTCCATCATTTAGTTCCACTGGTCTTGGCAGCTCCTTTGTTATATCTTTCCAGCCTGTTGTTCCGTCGTCTGCATTTGCTGACACCACCATATCACGGGTTGATAAATCTTCATATTTTTTCGCGTCTGCTCTGAGTGACATGGGAAGTGTAATTTCTGCTGGCTCTAATAGTTGAATAGCGCTGGAACATCTGATATGCAATACAGGTCCAACCAAGACTCCACTTTCTTCCAACCATTCCTCTGGGATTTCTTGTACCTTCGAAGTAAAGTAATCTGAACATAATTATTTGCACTATGAGTTCTTCCCTGTAGAAAAAATGTTCCGCCGAGAAAAAAATGGAAAAGAAAAAGAAAAGAAGAAAAAAACAGAATGAAAAAAAACGCGTTGGTTTGAAATTTTGTTAAGGCGCGGACAGCTGCTTGTTCTGATATAAAGCAAATGCAACAAATTCCGTCATCTGAATGCTGAGGGCAACTATTGGCTTTACAGTACCCATAAGAAGTACAATAAATTACAGGGAAGCCTGAAAACCGGACATCCTCGGGACAAGAGGAAATGTCCGGTCTAGAGGGGTGTCCGGTGTACTAAGGTTTTACTCAGAAGGGAATTTTATGCAGCCTAATGTACTGCCCAACTGTAAGTACAGTACACGGTACACGAGTACTGGTAAAGCACATCAGTAGGAACTAACAACGTAAATCACAAGGAAGCTTTTCAACGTAATTTGATCTAATTTGAAGTCGGTAATGTCAAGTTCTTTTGCAAGTACAATGGCTTTTTCTTGGATAATTGGACCTGAAATCGGTATGTTCTTGGCCCGTGCGTGGCAAAACCACTGCCACACAAGTTCATTCAGTTTATAAAATCTGCGAGAATTGTTGAAACGCTTCTTGTTGGTGTTGCTATTTTTTCCGTACACGGCATTGTAGACTTCTTTCTTCTTTAAATATCACCTGCAGTTGATTTACCGATCCCAAATTTACCGCTTAGAGCATTTATTGTTGGTTTAGGCGCTGATTCCCCGCATTTGATCAACTCAATTCTCTTCTCTAAAGATAACTCGATTCTTTGGCGTTTCGCTGGTCTCTCAGACATACTGATGTTTGCTACTTCGTTTGTTTTCGCAGGTGATTTCACCCGCAACATAACAGTCTCTTAACCTGATCCCTATTGTTGTCATTCATTAGTTGAAAAAAAAATCCCGAGTTTTTCTTTAACGCTTTTTGAAATCTATTTATTACTTAGTTCAGGAGCATACCTTCAGGGTTAAATGCAAGTTCCTTTCAGTCACAATTTCGGCTGGAATTGTAACCTGTAAGTCTGGATACTCCGGGATTTTACAGATGAACTTCTGACTACGTGTATGTTCAATAGAGTATGTGTGCGACTTCAATCTGCAGATAATAGCATAGGTGGAACAGCGTGTCACTCTGGCCTCGGCGTATGGCACTCTTAGCCTTGACAAGAGGTTTCCCTCGACATCTGATGGAAACAAAGGCGTTTGCGCGAAAGGAAATGTAACCAATACGTGCTCGTTAACTTTGCATTTTAAAAAGGCGAGATACCTACTATGTTAAAGATACTTAGATAGCCAGCAGCAAAGACGTATTGAGTTGGAAGTACATCCAAAGCTCTCAACGCAGAATATGTTATGTGCTTAAGAATTTTCATGCAAGCAATGGGCAGAAATCATGAGAAACGCAGAAAACCTTGGTCACACTTTTAGTTTTAAGGGAAAAGTATGAATCAACAATGATAAAAGTGGAAAAGACGATGAATGTGGGAAAAAGTTCCTCGGAATTAGACACACGTTTTAGCCTTTATTATTACCTGAGGTTTCCCAAACGTTTGTTGTCTCCAAATCTTTCCACTCGCTTTTAGTTGAATCAACTAGCTCGCCAATTACAACTTCATATCCCTTAAGTTTAGCGGCACTATGTGAGAGGGCAACTGTCACTGTTTCATCAAATTCTCCAGTGAAACCAGAGCTTGATGATTCATTACATGACAGGTGTATCACATCGCTCACCAACTCCTCATTCTTCCCCGAAGGCAGACGCTCCAGTGTTGAATCCAAAAGGGTACATCTGAACGAGATGGCTGTCGGAACAGCGTTTGGGAAAAATGCCATATACGCGGCAGCTTAGATTTCTTGCAGCTTCCACAGTGTCCCATTTTTGTCAACTAAACAACTAAACATTCCAAATAAATCATATAACTTTGAATATCCAACCAGACTAGGAGTGCTTTTGATTGCAGGAATTCCCAAACTGACAAGCTGGAACTGAATATCGGTTTGTCTCTACCATTTGAGCTACAGGGCTCAGAGGACGGTAGAGAACTGAATCTGAGGAGAATTCATTACTATCCAGTTTTCTTAGTCGATGACCTAGGTAGCTTTGTTGAAAGCGGAAAAGGAGAAACATTATAGCCTGGTGATAGGGAAAAGGTACTGTTTCAAGAGCTATGGTTAAAGAATAAGACACGCTAAAACAACTTTGCCATAGCAGTTAAGCAAAGAAAGCTACGAGGGAAAAGACTATCAGGGGCACTTCCAGAAGTTCGTAATAAAACGACATGAGAATTTTTAAAAAAAGCAGGCTAAGGGAAAGAAACAGTAGCAGCATTACTGTAGTAGCTCATGTCTAACTGTTAAGAAATACATGTCATAGCAAAAGAAGGATAATTTGGGGCAAGTACGAAAGGCTCCGGAAAGTGGCCTGCGGTGAATCAATGCAGCACGTTTATTTGAACGATTATAGTGGATTACGGAGAACCACTGTGCTGGGAAATGCTTAAAATACCTGGCTACATCTCATACACCTCAGGTCAGACGCGCTGACTTCAGTTCGAAAGGAAACAGCAAAACACTTTGTGCAAACTGGAAAATAAGATCAGCATGATAACAGCGGATAATAATGATAGTAAAGTTATTAATTATAATAACAATTAACAACATATACTGGCTAGTGGTGGATATTTATCCAAACTGTGAAATGTTTGGATGAATTAATTCATTTATTCACGTAGAATTACAATATTTTCTGAAGAAAACCCCGCGCAAGTTTCTCGGAGCCAATCAGATTGCGCCTTCAGCACTATCCACTGTTTAAGTATATATTTGATATATATCGACAACTAATAATAATGATAGCAAAGACGAAAAAATGATGAAGAAGATAACTAAGGGAGAAAACGAAGCGATGAATTAATGCATCCGTTGTCGATATTTCGAGGTGGCAACAAGATTGGATAAGTTGAATAAAAATGAATCATTTGTTATCTAGTGAAAACTCGTGATGTTTAAAAAACTTACTTCTCAGACCCGTTTGAAGTAGATTGTATTATGCTTTGTAACAAAGCATTTGGCTCAGTTTCCATCTCCTGCTCTTGCGGATCCTCAAGCCTGCTGCCTGTCTTGGCCTGTGATTCACACTCCATGGGGTCTGATCCAGACTCAGGCCCAGATTCGTTTGAAGTAAATTGCATTATGCTTTGTGACAAAGCCATTGACCCAATTTCCATCCCCTCCTGCTGTTGCTGACCTTCAAGCTTGCTGTCTGTCTTGGCCTTTGATTTACACTCCATGTTGTCTGATCCAGACTCAGGCCCAGATTCGTTTGAGGTAAATTGCATTATGCTTTGTGACGAAGCCATTGACCCAATTTCCATCCCCTCCTGCTGTTGCTGACCTTCAAGCTTGCTGTCTGTCTTGGCCTTTGANTAATCTTGAGGAGCCCGCTTCACTTGGTTTGACTGCTACTTGAACGACGAAATTGAGAAGGTTGGGTCATACCCGAGGCTCGTTGCGAATTACTTAGGCGGACATTGAATATGACAATTGTGAATTGTGAAGGTTGGGTCATGACACTTGCTCACTGTAAATTGATTCCCAACCTGACGCTCAAAGGTTCAAGTACATTCGGTTCTGCATATTCTTTACCACAATCCTCTCACGTTTTTACCCTTACAGATCATAGAGATGACCTCATAAGTGCTATAAACCTAAATCCACGAGACAGTGACTTTAAAAAGGTGCTAGAAACCTACGTGAGTATTACAAGTAAAAACTATTTGTGGGAACGTTTCAACTTACCAGGATCAGACAAGAAATGTTCCCTACAAGCTCTGTATTCCTCTTCCGAAATACTTGTCTGAAGTGTCAACTCATGTAGACCAAATTCCTCGAGATTTTCTTTTGTGACTATATATTTTTGTGCCATTTCATTTAAGTGGCCAGTGCAATAGTCATCCCACAGAGCATCAAGTATTTCTAATGATCTGCAGAACACAACGATTATCAAACCCTCAATCTGAACGTCTTCTAATAAAACTTTACGCACATCCGTCAAATATTTCAGAAATCCTTGAGGTTCTTCTGGTTTAGAAGGATCCATCATTTCCAAATATTTGTGGGCGATAAAATTCAGAACGTCTTGTGCTGGGGTAAACAACACGTCAGACTTGTCGTGCAGTTTGGGGAGTTCTGTTGGTAAGTAAATTTTTTAGCAAATTAATTGATGAGACTAAGGAAATTAAGAGCCATACACTTATGTGGTTATTACGAAGCTGTTCTCCTCACTTTTTTTTTACAGTATCTCATTCTTAGGGGTGTTATTCCCGAAAATAGAATCGCTATATTCAGCGCTAATAGTGGTGTTGAGGCATCTAAAGTGATATGAGTGGAATGTACGGGGAAATGAGAAAATAATACTTGTGGAGAGAAAATAGCGAAAAATAACGAAAACACAGCAATTAAGGGCGATCAAATTTCCGAGCTTCCAAATTCAAGAAGATTAAATCGTATTAACAATAAACGAAAAATTGTCTTAGTTCCTCAGACTTGCTACCCTGTTCTCATGGAAACAATTTGAAGTTCCTCCCAGTTTCTCTTGTTGCACGTATCTTTCAAAGGAATGTCGGAGTGAGAAACGAAAAGAACTCGTAGATAATAAAAAACCTAGGTCTCAGCCAATAATCAAATGCTCATCCTTTTCTTTGTGCAGAGATGCATACCAAAGTCTTCAATTATCTCTTTCACATCACCTCTTAATTTTGTGTCCTCCCTGTAGTGTATTACCCATTGGCGCATGCGTGCGAGAGTTGTTGTTAGAACACGTTGTCCACCATTAAACTGTTAAGTTAATGTGCGTTGGATTAATCCGAGTGTTATTGGTTAGATCCGAACCATCCGGGCGGGATACTACACTCCCTTCGAGATGAAGGCCTTCCATAAGCTTTCCCGTCTCTCAGAAGGCTAGCTTCTAAAAAACAATCGCGACAACTTCTTAGTCTGCAACTTCCATTTACACAATATGTTCACACATACACCGAAATAAAGTGTTGCATGACTATTGTCACAGCATTTAACCAACTGCTTATCCAATTCTATGTGCAAAGTCTTAGCAAAGTCTTCAATCATCTCTTTGACATCACCTTTTATTTCTGTGTATTCCCCTTGAGATGTAGGCCACCCATAACCTTTCTTGTCTTTCAGAAAGCTAGCCTCTAAAAAACAATCGAGACAACTTTTTAGTCTGCAATTTTCATTTACACAATATGTTCATACATACACCGCTATGAAGTGTTACATGACTATTATCACAGCTTTTAATCAAATGCTTATGCATTTTCATGTGCAAAGATGCATACCAAAGTCTTCAATCATCTCTTTCACATCACCTTTTGACTTTGTGTATTCCCCTTGAGATGTAGACCTCCCATAAGCTTTCTCGTCTCTCCGAAAGCTAGGCTCTAAAAAACAATTGAGACAACTTTTTAGCCTGCAACTTTCATTCGCACACAATACGCTCATACACATGAACAAAGGCTGATAGTTTCTTAAGAAACTGTTTGGAGCTGCGTCGGTGGGGGTAACGAAATAATTTGAATATATCAATGCCATTGTCTCGGCTTGCAGTTGCCCTAACGAACTTATCTCCAGCTTTCTAGACAAAATTATGGCTCCCATCGTCAAAAATTTACCATCATATATTAAAGACAGCCAACACGCTCTTCAAATTTTTCGCGACTTTAATTTCCTTGGCCAAAACAAACCTTTTTTCACTATGGGTATTACGTACCTTTACATTGTCATTCCTAATGGCGAAGGTCTTCTGGCCCTTAAACATTTTTGTGATCAACGTATTGTTAAGGAACCTAAATCTGAAACACTACTACGCTTAGCCGAATTAGTGCTCACACTCAATCGTTTTTCATTCGGTGACAACTTTTTCAAACAAACCAATGGTGTAGCCATGGGTACCAAAATGGGACCTAGCTATGCCAATCTTTTTGTAGGTTTTGTCGAACACCAATTTTTCAGCCAATACAACGGCTCCAAACCTGAACTCTACGGTCGCTACATCGACGACTGTATCGGCGCCACCTCCTCTACCAGAGAGGAGCTGACTCAATTCATAACCGCAGTCAATTCTTTTCACCCGGCTCTGAAATATACCTGGGAAATTTCTGACAATTCTTTATCCTTTTTAGACATCAAAGTTTCAATTGAAGGCAACGGTTTATGCACTAGTGTGTATTACAAACCTACAGACTCGCATAATTACTTGTTGTATTCGTCTTCGCATCCATCTCACGTTAAGAATTCCATTCCTTTTTCTCAGTTTCTAAGACTTCGTCGTTTATGTAGTGATGACTCTGATTTCCACCACAAATCAGAGTCAATGTGCCAGTTTTTCGATAAACGTGGTTACCCTGATTCTGTCGTTCAAGCGGGTTACCACCGCGCCCAACTTATTGATCGACATTCAGCACTACAAACGTCACAAAAGGAAGATTCCGACCGCATTCCATTCACTCTCACGTTTCACCCTCACAACCACTCAGTTAAATCCATCATTCTTAAAAACTTTAAATTACTTCAAAACGATCCAGAGACAAGCACTATCTTTTCGCAGCCTCCGCTCATTTCATTCAAACGCGACAAAAACATAGGCAATTTTTTGGTCAGAAGTTCTTTTCAGACTAATGACCAACCAGGCACTTTTAAATGCGCTCGTGCACGATGCAAAACGTGTCCTTTCATTCACAACACTGATAAAATATCGGGACCTAAACGATCCATTAAGATCACCGATCACTTCACGTGCACCTCCGCCAATGTAATCTATTGCATAACTTGCACTTATTGCAAAAAGATATACATCGGCGAAACAGGCAGAAGACTAGGTGACCGATTCCGAGAACACCTTCGAGACGTGGAAAGGAATGACAAGGACACATCGAAACCAGTCGCTAGACATTTTAATTTACCCAATCATTCTAAGCAACATATGGCAATCTGCGGTCTTTCCTTACACCTAGGTAGCACGGAATGCCGCAAAACTCTTCAACAAAAGCTCATCTTTCAATTTGGCAGTCTAAATCCCACAGGTATCGACGAACGCCTTTCATTCCACTAATTTACTCGTGTTTTTCTCGTTGTCATGTTCCCACCAATCACGTAGCTCAACTTTCTGCCTTTAAAAGCACACACAACCCACAATTCCTCTATTCGCTCCGACGAAGGGCTAAAACTCGGAAAGTCAGCTTTTATAACCGTAACGGTGGCCAATTTACCATTTCAACCTTGTTAATATATTCAAATTAAAATGTTCATACATACATCGATATAAATTGCTGCATGACAATTATCACAGCATTTAATCAAATACTCATCCGTTTCTATGTGCGAGGATGCATACCAAAGTCTTCAATCATCTCTTTGACATCACCTTTTAATTTTGTGTACTTCCCTTGAGATGAGGGCGTTCCATAAGTTGTCTCGTCTCTCAGAGGGCCAGCTTCTAAAAAACAATTGAAACAACTTTTGAGTCTGCAACTTTCATTTGTAAAATATGTTCATATGTACACCGATACAAAGTGTTGCATAACTATTATAAAAGCTTTCAATCAAATGCTCCTTCGTTTCTATGTGCGAAGATGCATACCAAACTCTTCAATGATCTCTTTGACATCACCTTTTAATTTTGTGTACTCCCCTTGAGATGTAGGCGTTCCATAAGTTTTCTCGTCTCTCAGAAGGCCAGCTTCTAAAAAGCAATTGAAACAACTTTTTAGACTGCAACTTTCATTTGCACAATATGTTCATACATACACCGATAAAAAGTGTTGCATGACTATTATCACAGCTTTTAATCAAATGCTCCCCCGTTTCTATGCGCGAATATGCATACCAAAGTCTTCAATGGTCTCTTTGACATCACCTTTTAATTTTGTGTACTCCCCTTGAGCTGTAGGCGTTCCATAAGTTGTCTTGTCTATTTGAAGGCCAGCTTCTAAAAAACAATTGAAACAACGTTTTAGTCTGCACCTTTCATTTGCACAATATGTTCATACATACACCGATATAAAGTGTTGCATGACTATTATCACAGCTTTTAATCAAATTCTCCTCCGTTTCTATGTGCGATGATGCATACCAAAGTCTTCAATCATCTCTTTGACATCACCTTTTAATTTTGGGTACTCCCCTTGCGCTGTAGGCGTTCCATAAGTTGTCTTGTCTCTCAGAAGGCCAGCTTCTAAAACACAATTGAAACAACTTGTTATTCTGCAACTTTAATTTGCATAATATGCTCATACATACACCGATATAAAGTGTTGCATGACTATTATCACAAATTTAAACAAATGCTCATCCGTTTCTATGTGCAAAGATGCATACCAGGGTCTTCAATGATCTCTTTGACATCACGTATTAATATTCTGCCCCTCTATTGTTGAGATGTAGGCCTCCTATAGGTTTTCTCGTTTCTTAGAGGGCTACCTTCTAAAAAACAATTGAGACAACTTTTTAGTCTTCAACTTTCATTTACACAGTATGTTTATACCTACACCAATATAAAGTGCTGCATGACTATTATCACAGCATTTAATCAAATGTTTATCCGTTTCAAAGTGGATAGATGCATACCAAAGTCTTCAATGACCTCTTTGTCATCACGTTTTAATTTTGTGTCTTCCCTTCGAGATGCAGGCCTTCCATAAGCTTTCTCGTCTCTCAGAAAGCTAGGCTATAAAAACAATCGAGACAAAGTTTTAGTCTCCAACTTTCACCACACAATATGTTGATACCTACACCGATATAAAGTGTTACATGACTATTATCACAGTATTTAATCAAATGCTCATCTGTTTCTATATGCAAAGATGCATACCAAAGTCTTCAATGATCTGTTTGACATCACCTTTTAATTTTCTCTCTTTCTTGCTTAGAGCTGGAAGCCTTCGATAAGTTTTCTCGTCTCTCAGAAAGGTAGCTATAGGCTCTAAAAACAATTGAGACAACGTTTTAGTCTGCAACTTTCACTACACAATATGTTGATACATGCACTAATATAAAGTGTGGCATGACTATTATCACAGCTTTTATCAAATGCTCATCCGTTTCTATATGCAAAGATGCATACCAAAGTCTTCAATCATCTCTTTCACATCGTTTAATTTTGTGTATTCCCCTTGAGATGTAGGCCTTCCATAAGCTTTCTTGTCTTTCAGAAAGCTAGGCTCTAAAAAGCAATTGAGACAACTTTTTAGTCTACAAGTTTCATTTACACAATATGTTCTTACATGCACCAAAAAACGGACGATGTTTCTCTGAGCGATGTTTCTTTGAGCGAAGTAATCGGGTATCAAATCTTCCCGCACAAGTGAAACTTCTGCACAGTTTCAATCTTAAGGGGTTGGTCTCAAAAACTGTGTGAGGCTTTTTCGATATTCCTTTTGGTTGCTTTTCAATCTTTCTGTTAAGTTTGGTTATAAAAAATTTACCGATACGCGTTACGTCGGAGACCATTGCGGGAAATCAATTTCGAAAAACTGAAAAGCGCCACACAGTTATTTAGATTGGTATCTTGGGAACCTTTGGACCAAATTTCAGGGCAATCCGTAAGATTTAATACTCTATTAATTCCTCCAAAGAAGACACACTCGTGTAAAAATGAAGTAGGTTTTTTACGCTTCCAAAGTTTTTCCAACATATCACACCTATAGTTGTCCACATTTCAAGTTATGTCAAGACTGAAAAACTCGAAATGCCGACCGCCAATGGAAACACAGGCGGGGAGTCTCTCCAAAGAACATGTTGGAATTAGTGCGTGACAGCTTCGGAATGCCGAAGAAGAGGAGAAGTTCCAGGCAAAGGAAAGTTTCGGCGGCGCCGTCAAGTTCTTCAAGCCCTTGTCCGTTTCAACGAAACGTTTTATCGAATTCCTTTAATATCTGGCTCTTACGTCCACGCTTCTTTCTAGCTTTAACCCAAGGGCTCTTTTCCTTTTAAATTCTACTCATTATTTCACGAACTGCTACGATAACCACGTGTAACCGTCATACGAAGAGGGAGTTACTACATCACGGGCACCGAGCGGGGCAAGAAAAATGGTCCGAGATACGAGTGGTCAGCGGTGGAATAGCTTTAATAAATGATGTAGAGACAAATCATTTGTAGCGGGGCTCCAACGCGCGCTTTGCGTGCGTGGGGCAGAGACTCATACCCATGGAATACGGTCAACCTCTTTTCGTTTGGTTGTCAGGGGACTGACCGAGCCTGCGTACGTACGTACGTACGTGCCTTCAGATTGCACGGGTAGGGTAGGGGAGACTATCAAAACGAAGGGAGGGGTGTCTCAGGCGAGTCTTGGCAAATGCACATCTTTTATGTTATCATTAATATTACGAACTTGGGAGCTATAGTAGTGGTATTAATCCTGAAATGTTACTAATAAACTTTGCTAACTAACAGGTTAAGCAATTTTTCAAAAGCTTCAACTATACAAATATCTTTCACTGCTCTAAGGGAGCATTCATTATTTATGGGAGGGGTGGGCTGGCAAGATTTTCAGTGAGACTAAACAAAATATCCTGACCGTGCTCTTTAAGAATTAAAAATGTCGTGACCCCTCTAGTTGTAATTGCAAAAATAGCTAGCCCCCCTCCCCCCTAGGACTACCAAAGCAGCGAGGTTAAAATAAGTGACTAAGGAAAGCAGTCAGGAGGACATCATACCAGTTATGGAATTGACTCGTCGAACTCGGTATGGACGTAGTACTGGCACATAGTTTTCTAGATACCGAGACCAGTTCGTGTATTTCTAATATTCTGTGTTTGCTGCCCCACTACAATAATAGCTTGCCAAGGATACCTATCGTGCCAAAAACTCATGGCTATTCTATATAATATAATTGTAAATAACTTAGAACTTAGAACATCTCATCATTGTTATCCCTTTTTATAAGCTTTTTTTTTTATTGTTAATACTATTGTAAATATTACACTCAGCTCGCCTTCACTGCAATCTTGTAATATAGTTTTTGAAATAAACATTATTATAGCTTGAAGAAGAATAGCTTTCCAGCGTATGTAAAGTTAGTTATTGTTCCCTATATCTTGTATGGCGGGTAGTAGAAATATTCTACAAACTTAAACTCACATTTGTAGATGATATGTAACAACAAAAAGCTTTTGACCCCCTGCATTATTCCCAAATTTTTCTAATGACTCTCCATTTTAGTTCCTGAATTTACCATGACCCCCCCCCCTCCCATTATCTTTGCCAGCATTCCCCCCGCCATAAATAATGAAGGCTCCCTAATAAGCAACGAGGACATCGGGAAAGGCATCAAAAAATGATATTTTTGTTTGGTAACTTGCTACAGGACGAAAAGAAAGTATCGTGACTTCTGTTGTCTGAGGCGTTCATCACCGCTGGCGCGCTTTTCACTTGATTTTTGCAATCTCTACATTTTTTTCCGGGAATTGAAAGTTAGGGAACTCTACAAAATTGAGTTCTCGATCTGAATGATTTTTTTATCGCTCCGGAAAACTCCACAACTCGAAAGAATGATTGGCTTGGGTGCGATAGCTGTGGCCAGTTTTTCCACGCAAGTTTGACTGAATGTCCCTTCCGCAGAGACGCTTACACAACGTTTTACCCGCCGTTGGGGCGGCTTATTTTCAGATCAAGTGGACTGTAATGTTATGTATAGACCTTAATCTACCAGGATAACGAATGCAGTTCCTGGTAATCAATCAAAACATATATTCGGGGGTGTCACTGGTCCAAAATCGTAACGTAATGGAGCCAACAATATGAAGAACATCTCAGAATTCAAAATGTTTTATTTTTTTTCGATTCGAACGTTTAGTTTTCATCTCGAGTGCATCTGTTAAAGTAAATAGAAAGTAAAATTTTGAATGGAAAACATGACTATTTTAACATACAGTACCGGTTGTTTTGAGGAAAGGTCTCCTAAAACGAGCGGCCTTTTTTTATTAGAAACATTTGAGGGATGGTAAACCCATCAACCTTAATTTGACTGTTTCTTGAAGTTCTGAGTTGTCCTCTTTGCATACTTTCACATGGAATGGAGGCGATTGCTTAGATATAATATGAGGTAAGAGAACTTCTGCTAGTAGAATTTTTGTTATGAAAGTTTTTCATCTTAGCCTGTGGATACAAACTTATAAAAGACTCAAAAATCATTCAGATGGAGAACTCGATTTTTGTAGAGTTCCCAAGCTTTCAATTCCCGGAAAAAAAAGTAGAGATTACAAAAATATGACGCCCGCTGAGATTAACGCCTTGCACAACCGAAGTCACGATACTTTCTTTTCGTCCCGTGGCAAGTTACAAAACAAAAATATAATTTTTTGATGCCTTTCCCGATGTCTTCGTTGCTTATTAGAGCAGCGAAACATATTTGTATAGTCGACGCTTTTGAAAAATTGCTTAACTTGTGATTTAGCATAGTTTATTGTTAACATTACGGGATTTATACATGGTGCATTAAAGCTATTTCACCGCTGACCACTCATATCTCGGACCATTTTTCTTGCCCCGCTCGTCGCCCGTGATGTAGTAACTCCCATACGAAGATGTCTATGCGACTAATACTACCCCGGATGTTGTGTCGCGAAAAACATCACGAGAGTCATTTGCGGTGACATTATAACTGGCTTTTCACACTTTGGCGGCTCAAAGAATTCAGTTCGAAAAACGTTTTTATAAATAACTCGAGTACGTTTCAACACTTTCAATAATTTTTTTGGAAACTGTTGTTAAAATAGCATTGCTGATTACTTATCTCCGGAGAGTAGTTTCCTAACGCTCAATGTAAAAGCCTGAGAGCACAAGGCTCGAAGCATCGATCTCACTTTTTTGCAATTTTAACAAAAACCTGATTTTATTATGTATATACATCTTTTCTTTAACCAATAGACTTCGGACGCCTTTTGCCCCAAAGTCACGGTTTCAACCCATGACTTAGCTTTCCGTAGTCGAGGGAAAGGGTGTGTAGTGAGAATGTGTCACAATCCCAAAACTTCCGTTTCTTATAAGCCATAAAAGGAAAAATTCATAGCAGTTAAAGGGTTGCAAGTTTATCCTGAGACAGAGGGAGAATACCGTCGAAAGTGAATCAAGTTTTCATCGGATAGAA